ATTGTTGGATTGCCGCCCTGTTTCACCTCTACTCCAGATATACGATTGCCGTGGATACTACACTTCTCAAAGTAACCCTGCAACAACATGCTCCATGAAACCGCTGCAAAGTAAAGAGATTAACATACAACGCCGTTTTCGAAAACGAAAATTCCAACATCGCGGCCGTGATGGATATGGCAACGTCGAAAGTAAGGATTGGCGTTATTCTTTACCCAGACTCCAGCTAACGAGTTCTGAGAAATTTCACAGTCTTCATAGGTGCCCTTTATCAAATGATCATGTTATAGAAGCGTAAACAACACATTATTCGGCTGACGTCACCTGTGCAAAATCGGTTATATAAATGCCGACATTCTCGCAGTCGCAAATAGTGCAAAAGCGCACCTTGGGATTCGAGTTAGGACGGCGGACGCATAGGGCAGCGCCGACCATAGACGTGCTTTGAATGATGCAATGGTCAAGAACAGGGGAACAATTATCGGTAACCTCCACGGCATAATGATTGTGATGCGTAAGGTTAGGCGAGCTTTCTGGGCAAAACTGAAAAAGAAAATTTAATTAAGTAAAACACTAGACCTAGTTGAGGAAAGTTGAACAAACAAAATGGAAGTTGTACGGGTCATCGGAGAAAGTAAACACTAAATATATTAGCTGCAACGCTGAAACGAGAGTATTCATTATTTACAAACTTTTTGCCCATTTTGACGACCGCGATGAAACGTCGAAGATTACAAAAAAAAGAACTGGTACAACAAACGGATCCGCCACCAACCTTACGCATCTTAAAGTTTCGAAGGTGCTCTGGACTAAAGTACTTTCATTATGTCCTCACGGTGTAGTGCATACTATTGTCACCGAAAAGTACAGAAGTAGAAAAAAAACTAGTGTTCGATATGTCAAATAAGACTAGCTTTCGAGTGGACAGTTTCTTTCAGCGTATAAAATAAGTAAGAAATTTAAATATACAGATGCATTAACGATTAAACTTGCGCTGTCTTCCGTAATATTATTAAGCATTCGAGAATTAAGCACCGAACTACTGTTTACTGAAGTTAACGAATAAATACGACAGCAAATTTCGCAAAACTGTCCACCGATTTTCTGTCAATTCAATTCAACAGCTCAAAGTCGCTAAAAAAATATGTAACTTTTACAGTTTCAACGCTTGCAAACAGTGTAATATATGCAATATTTATAAAATTCATAACGTATGGGTTTCAAGCGCCTTTAAATCTGTTAATCACTTGTAATAAATGTGCGCACAAGTTTCGTCAAAACTAATCTTCATTACCGCTCCATCATATATATGCCGCTTATCACTTAAGATCTTCAACGCACTAGTGCTATAGGGTCCCGTGACAATACACACTAGTCTGAGGTTTCTATTATGCTCACAGACGAACTTTTATTAACTTTAATTGTCGTCGACATCAACAAACGTCAGCACTAGGACAAATACTTTTGTTTTAGCCAAATCCAAATATTTAGATAGTATATTTTAAGATATCTTTCGAAAGAATATGTTATTAATGACCTACCGGATTAAAAGTGAGCGAATATAGTGATATGAATTACATTTAGGCCACGCCTCGGAGCCCAAAACAACCGTTTTTCTCACGTATTATTAAACACATCGAAATGCATTCCCATAGATTAGTCTAAGTTTATACACAAAATTTAGTCCTGAAAATAGAACTCAAAATTCAGAATTATATCACGTTGTGTTAGCGTTTCACTGCGTTTTGAAAGGTAGAATGACCGTGAAGCCAAGGACGATAACCTGCTTTCTTCATGCTCACCTTCGACGTGAGACGATACGCATTTTCGCTATTCCAATACCTTAAGAAAGAATAAACAACTTACTGCAATGACAGGCATTATCCGCTTTATGAGATGTTATCTAATTCTTCCTGTGTGCATGAATAAACAATAAACTTGAATTTTATCAGGATGCCAAATAGAGAAAGTGCGAAATGCAGTGCACTTGAGTACTTAGGGAACCACTGGGAATGGTTAGCGCATCATTTCGGTTAGACTACTTGGTTTAACAGCTACTCGCTTAGTAAAATAATGGACCTCAGTCTTCGTGATTTCTGTCTAACAATATCTCACTGTCACATGAAAGAATGCCCTACAAACTACAGGACATTGGACAGCGTTGAAAGACAGCTGTGGATGTTGCAAACACTCTTAAGGCAACTCTATAATCCATAGGACGTAAGAGCCACGTGGAAAAACAAAGGAGGAACAAAATTTTCGACATTCCAAATCTACCTACGCTTCAGCCGTTGAAATAATTTTTATGCGAAGTAACCGCAGGCTAAACAAAGCTTGCAGTACGAAAAGCGCTAGGAGGGTATTGAGGCAGTTCTCAACGTTTTCCCATTAACATCGAAAAGCTTTAGAACCTGATGCGAACTGTGCGGATCTAGCATGGATAATTCCAGCTCAACACTGCATAAGCTGTGATGAACAAACAATATGGCAACGAAGATAAATAAGGTACATAAGAGCGAGGTAAATTAAGTTTCCAGGCTTTCAGATGGAAAGCCAGTATGTCGTTAGAAATCCAGAAACTACTAGATAAGTGAAGTTTTCAGAAACACAGGCTGTTGCGAAACAGTCAACAAAATATTCGAAACAGCAACGCTGAAAGGCACATCCAAATTTTTGGGAAAGTTTCATTTTTAAAGACATTCAATAGACAGCGCTGATTCTGTGACATGATTTTTCAAGAAAACTAACTGGCAAGTTCGTCTGTGTCACCTTCAGGGATTTTTAAAGAGTGAAGTAAGATTTCTGCCCAATATAATAGCATCTATAAGTTTGGCTATGCTAGCAGGAATTAAAGAAAATATTTTTCACACGAATGTTTTAGGACGGCGCAAAACAAGAAAACATGCAAAGAGATGCTCAACAATTTCAGTGCTCAATGTCAAGCGTTCAAGGCTAGTTTTCCATTACATAAATGACCTTCTATGACTACGATGAAGCAAATGCATTACAACGACCATATGGTAGAAAACCAAAAATACTGGAGCCCTACACAATGAGACCATTGATAATAGAGAAAAGAAATTTATACAGTGCTCACTGAACGCTATTCACAGGGACAAAATCGCATACACAAAGACAGAACATAAATCTGTTCATACATGTAAAAAAGAAGAGAAGAATGTAACAAACATATGCTCTACAGTAAATATTTAACACAGCTCTATACGCTCTCTAATCAGGTGAAATAAAAATGAAAGTACTTTCAACATTAAACAATGGCTGTTTAAAGAACCGTCTGCTTCAGGATAGTTATGGAGTTATCAGTAAAAAAACCAAGCGCATGGCGCTTATTAAGATTAAATATATCTAAAAAGTGACTCTGTCGGCCACCGATTTTTAAGCTTCATAACAATAACACAAAAAATAATATTTGAATGGCACTAGTAAATATGCATACAATAACTGCTTCAAAAGACAAACATACTCGAATTGTACAGTATCCCAAATATGCACGGTGAGCCCCTTCAGAAAATACGGCCACCGTTTCTTTACGCCGTTCAATAACAACGTTCCGCGCTATATAACCAGGGGCTAAAACATGATAATGTAACTGAAAATGCGCATTCTTCAAATCAGGCTAAGCGCCTAACAAACACAGAAGCTTAAGGTTGGTCCCGCTCATCGCTGTCTTACTAACGATAGCCAGAATAACGATATTGAGCTTATATTTCGAATGCATGGATAGAGCGAAAACAATATAAGTTAATAAACTGAAGGCAATACCAGTAACAAGATCTAGAAGAAAGCATTTTAGTGAAAGAGCAACCAGATTCCATTCCTGATTAAGGATAAACAACAGCTGCAAAATAATCTTTCAGTGGCAAATAAAACGCTCACATGTAATAGACCTTTATGACCCCCACAAAAGAGACAAACATGTTTGCCAGAAAAAGAAAGCGTTATTACCAACTTTCTTTCCACTTTACTTTACGCTAGTTCTGATCAAAAACAGGGCACAAACCACTCGACTGCACTAGCGAAAGTAGTTTTCGATCCGAGTAAATGGCCAAGTCCTCGAAGTGTCATCATCAGCGGAGAGACTTGCGACGTAATAGCAAGCAGGGTAAATGAAAGAGCATAAGACTTGGTCTCGTCCTAACTCCCATCCCACAGAGTAAGCGACAGATTGCCTTAAGGTTCCGCCCTGGCATCCCTAATGTACAAACAACATGCCGCCGACATCAACCAAAAAGTTTGATTACACAGGCGGTATGCTACTTGTTCCCAATGGGAGAAGTCCTGACGACCATTTCGACTGAACCATAACCGCTGACCAGAAGACAATGGAAGACCATTACAAACGACGGTCGAAAACAAGTGTCACTGCCTTTCAACTCAACTACCGCTTGGCAACAGCTACTCTCGAAGTCTGGCTCTGCGGCGATCGAGTGAGAAAGGAGAAATACCCGATATATCTGCGAGTAACGCTGGACTGCAGCATCGCATTTCGAGAACACCTTTAAAAGCTGTGGGAAAACAAACGATCACAACTACATAATTCAGAAGCTTGCTGGAACAAGGTGGAGATCTACTGCCCACATTCCGCGAAAAGCAGCCCTTACTACCATATAACTTTCAGCGGAGTACTGATCTGCGGCATGGCTTGAGGACAGTAATACGATGAATATCCTTAACATCAAAAAGAGCATCTTTACAGGGTCCCTCAAGAGTACTCCATTTCTCTGTTTACCTGTATTCTGTGGCATACCTCCAACAAAAGAACACAGAAAGCTGCCTATGGGAGCAACGCAAAACCTTGGCGTGGGACTGCAGCAAGCAGACCAAACAGTGCACCATATCGTCAGCCAGTGTGAGTCAAAAAGTTTCCAGAAAGGAATCGCAATATCACATGCGCTGAAAAAGGGTTCCAATGTCAAAATATGACCTTTCTAAGTAGTCGATAAAACGTAGCCTTTGCCGCCATACGCAACAATAAAAGCAAACAGATGATGCGCAAGAAATGGAAGCATGACAAAACACCTGGTGACCACTTCGCACTAATGATTCGTCTACAAGGATGTCCAGTTACGGTTAAAACGTAAAGTAAAAGTGTTAATAATCCATGAAACAATCAAATACAACTGTTGAGCAACAACTGCTGCAAGCTGGTCGAAAGAACAGTATCGCCAGATGTTTGCATTTTACAAAAAAATGAATTTCACACTGAATTAACAGATGGAACATCACATGTTAAAACCAAAATCGCAAGGATGCTGATCTTCCTGACGTTAATAACAAGGCAAACAAACATTCCCTCAAAAGAAAAACAGGAAACATGTTTGACTTAAACGCTTCAGGATATTCAGCGAAACAAACGCTTATCACTTCAGGACAACCGTCGTTATCACGGTCGAGGGAAGCATAGCTGTACTTGATGTCTGTATAACTCTCTGAAGGGAGAACGGAAAAACAAAGTGGGAATACTCACCTGCGCCAATAATCTGCACATTCCCTTCAACGAGGATCATTTCTTCAGTGTACACACCGCTATGAATGAAGATAAGCGGCTCATCTAAATCTTCGGCGTACCTCAACGCGGTTTCTATACGGTCGAAATGCTCAAATAGTAATATGTTTTCAACGTTTCATTTGTAGAGTCTAAAGTTACCACAATGTTGCGACTTCTCCTTTCATAAAGTTCAGCGTAGCCGCGCCTGACATGCAATCCATGATACTAAAAAAGAAAAGAGAACGTGAATACGATGTAAATAAAGCAATAATTCAATTATACCAGCATGCGGAAACTCTCTCGCCAGGGATTCACGCTATTCCAAGTCGATGGATCACGAAACTCGAATCGACATGTTTCGGCGTGATGCAAAGGCAGGTCATACTCAAAAACACTTTTGTACAGATGTTCCCTAACACAGAACAATCATGGAAATGGAATAAAACCATAGCTACAGTATACCATCATCACAAAGTTTATGCAGTAAAACTTAGTTCCAAATAAAAGAATGTACGCTGAAAATATTCTATTAAGGACAAAACCTTCATGAAACATTTCACGCGACAACAAGAAATTTGCCAAGAAAGTTTGAAAGGTAGTCGAACATTTACAAGAATGCGCATTCGCCAAGTGGGCATGCAACTACTGTACAGCAATGAAGTCAGTAACAAAATATTATCGCCAACAAGACTAACGCTCAAATTTATTCTAAGAATTAGACAAAAGAGTGAATGCCACAACGGATACCGTATTAGTAAACGTAACTTTGGAATGGAAGTGTCTTTAAAAGAAAACACTTTAAAAATGTTCAAACCTTGTAAAACTGCAGTTTAAATTTTACCTCATAAATTAAGTGCAGATGCTTTATGAATTCCGATAATTAAAAATACAAAAATAAGGGCGATATAAATTCTGGAAATAACAAATACGTCAGTATGCAAGTAAATCTGCCTTCTAAAATTCTTAATGAAAACGTTCAACTTTTACACAGAGTCCCATAAAATGAGGTTATAATCGGTTTCTTGATAACAGACAAATATGAATAACTGTACTGATTTAATTTTGACAAAAAATGTAAATGCATGCTACAGAGTTAATGAGGTTTATACGCTGTGTTCAACTTAAATACCTTTCTGTAGTGCAGAAACCGCTTGAAAACTTTTCTTTCTCCAACGATAAAAGATATTTAGAATTTTGGATGTACAGTGAAAAGCAACGAGATTCTTGTTAATGTTATATGAAAGTTTCAGGTAAAGAATAAACACAATGTTTAAGTTCACACAATATTTTATGCAGAGATTTCGAGAACACCTCGCTCTACATTGCTAGCCAAAAAACAGCATGAAAAACGGGTTATTAACATGAAACGGAGCGTGTATCTGATTATTGTAACCTCGTCGCCAAATATATTGTATCTTCGCAGTGCCACGTCTGGATATAAGTTTATTGTGGTGGCCGAGCCGGCTAACGCAAACTCTCACAAGGCGAGACGATACTACATAACACACAAGTAACAAAACGATGGGTTTATATACTCGACGATCGGCGCGTAGTAAATGGCGCTCTCACATATGCTAATGCATAGAGCGCATGATTTGTCCTGATTACGTGCCGATATGTAGTCGATTAGATCAGAACATGCAAATAAAGTAGTCGGTCGCATCAATGCACGACTGACTGATGGCGATGACTCATGATCGTCCGTAACACCTCTCCCACTGAAGATTGAAAACGATATCTTCGTGGTGGTCGTCTGGTGCGTGTCGACCGACGGACTGGTCCATGAGTTGATTCGTAAACGTCGCTGCTCCGAGTATCATCACTGCATAGAAGCGGCGAGTTGTCGCTTGGTTGCAGGCCGCTGGTTTTTCTGTCACCATTACTGCTGTCATTTGACTGCACGTCCAGCGGATAAGAGAGGCGCCGCGCTGGGCCGGTTTGCACTGGTGTCCTTGTTAACACGTGGAATGATTTGACTGGCATGTCTTTTTAAAACTTTGCCTTGACTGTAGGCATAGTACAGACAGTTACCGCAACGTCGAAGAACTTGAGCTGGAGACCATATTGGTTTGGAACCACGATGGTACTCCTTAATATAGACGAGCTGATCGTTCTGGAACTGATATGGTCGCGCCTTATGATGATTATTCAACTGTCGTTCCATTTTCTGGTTGCGGGGGCCTGACGCGGTTGATCTGGGGTGCAGTAGGCTGAGACTAGTGCGTTGTGGGCGACCAAACAGTATTTCAGCTGGGGTGCGACCATTAATTGCAGGATTTGGCGTGGAGCGGTAAGCAAGCAAGAAAGACTGGATGTTTCCATCACCCTTGAGTGTATCCACGAAGCGTTCTGCTTGGCCGTTGGAGTGGAGATGGAACGGTGGGGATCTGATGTGCTTGACACCATTAGACATGCAGATGTGAATTGGGTGCTCGAAAACGACAATGTCAGGCATTCCGAAACAAGCGAAAACTTCACTGAGGAGACGAACAGTTGCGAGTGCTGTCATTATGTCCGTAATGAGGACTTCAGGCCATTTGGAAAATGAGTCGACAACGACTAAGAAATGATGACCAGCGCAAGGTCCTGCGTAATCAGTATGAACGGGTGACCAAGGATGCTCGGCTTGAGGCCAGGAAAATAGTTCAGCTTTACAAGGAGATTTGGCTGCTAAGTGACACTGATGACAGTTCCGAACTAGGTTTTCAATATCGGCATCAATTCCAGGTTAACACCGGGATGAACGTGGTGTAGCTGACGAAGTACGGAGGCTTGAAGCGGTGCCGGAATAACCACTCTTTCTCCATACATTAGACAACCATCAACCAGGGACAGTGAATCCTTGCGGTTGAAAAACTGCTTGAAACAAGGGTGAGGTGATTAATGGTCTTAGGCCATTTCGAGTGAAGCGATTTGATGACTCGCTGAAGAAGAGGATCAGCCTTAGTCTGTTGGCGAATTTTGTCAGCTGTGACAGGGAGCAATCGCGTAGCATGCGAGAGAACTTGCTGTACTTCTGCTTCAATCGTTTCGGTTGTGGCGATGACAACTTCTTCATCAGGCGATTCCCTGGCTCGCTTTGAGATGTGGCGAGACAAAGCGTCAGCTTTTACTGCCGAGATAACTGCATAGGTAACGGGACGTTTGGGACGAAAAACTGGTTGGATATCCGGTTGTAATCGCAAAGTCGCTTTAAAAAGCTTGCAACAACCAAGCTCACTGCCACAGATGCAAGGAAAGCGAAAACGGACAACCTGTTATGCATCTGAAGCATTAAGGAAACTAACGGACCGCGAACTGCATACTGCAGGTTCATCCTGAAGCTTGTTGAATGGTTGGTCAAAGAGACCTAGTTTCTCGATCCACTCAGCTTCAAGGAGGTTACTGTTGCCGTAGCTGGACACGTTACATATTCCGGACAAGGGTTTCGAAATGAAACGATAGGTGCATTTGAATTTACCTTGCAACGGAACTGGATCGCCGGTAAAGCTGACTGCTGAAACTGATGTGACTTGGGTGAGCCTTGGAGAACCAATCATCTTCCAGGTTGAAGAAGATATAATTGTAAGGTCTGAATCCGTGTCAACCAGCAGTTTAACTGGACGGCTGGTGATGAAAAGGGGCAGGTAGCGACGAAAACGTTTGAAATCAGCAGAGGCAAGGGCATAAACTCCGTTAAGCCAGGGTTTTCTGCGCCATTTGGATTTTTTTTACACCTACGGACCTTCTGGATCCTGCTGTAGATGAAAGGCGACTGGGACAAAACCCTCTTTGTCACCAGTTTTGTTGCACAACGAACACGTGTGTTTCTTGTATGGACAGTCACGCTCTACATGCATATCTCCGCAGAACCAGCAGGGAGTTTTGGGTTTTCATTTGGGCTTATTTGTTGGTATATGCTAATACC